TCTCCCTTTTCAGAGTACTGTGATTTACAATGTATAGATTTTTACTTCCTGTGTTAGATTGATTCCTAAGTATTTCATTTTTTTGGATGTTATTGTGAAGGGTGTGGTTTTCCCAATTTCTCCATCAGTGAGTTTGTTGTTTGTGTGTAGGAATGCTACTAATTTTTGAGTGTTGACTTTGTATCCAGCTATGCTCCTGAATTTGGTTGTTAAATCTACAAGTCTTTTGGTGGAGTTTTTGGGGTGTTCCATGTAGAGTATCATGTCATCTGTGAATAGTGATAATTTCACTTCTTCCTTTCCTATTTTTATTCCGCTTATTTCTCTCTCTTGTCTAACTGCTCTGACTAATGTTTCCAGATGTATACCGAATAGGAGTGGTGACTGTGGACATCTGTGTTCCTGATTTTAAAGTGAAAGCTTTCAATTTTTGTCCATTTAGTATGACTCTGGCTGTTGGTTTTTCATAGATGGTTGTTATCAGATTGAGGTAGAGACCATCTATTCTGATTTTCTGTAGGTTTTTTTTTTTAATCATGAATGAATGTTGGACTTTATCAAAAGCTTTTTCTGCATCTACTGAGATGATCATGTGATTTTTGTTTTTGGGTCTGTTGATATGGTGTATTACATTTATTGATTTGTGTATGTTGAACCATCTCTGTATTCTTGGGATGAATCCCACTTGGTCATGATGTATAACCTTCTTGATGGTTTGCTGTATTCTGTTTGCTAGTATTTTATTGAGGATTTTTGCATCTATGTTTATTAGGGAGATTGGCCTGCAGTGCTCTTTTTTGGTTGTGTCTTTCTCTGGTTTTTGTATGAGAGTAATACTTGCTTCTCAGACTGAGTTAGACAGAATTTCATCCCTTTCAATTTCATTAAGGAGTTTGAGGAGTATTTGTATTAAATCTTCTCTAAATTTCTTCTAGAATTCAGCTGTGAATCCATTAGGACTTGGGCTTTTCTTTGTTGCTAATTGTTAATTATGCTTTCAATTTCATTGACAAATATTGGTTTATTCACGATTTTTATATCTTCTTGATATAGCTTTGGTAATTCATGTTTCTACAAATCTGTCCATTTCTCCTGGGCTTCCAACTTCTCTGAGTAAAGATTTTCAAAGTAGGTATTGATGATCTTCTGAATTTTTACAGGATTTGTTGTGATCTCACTCTTTTCATTCCTTATTGAGTAAATTGAAGTTTTTTCTTTCCTCTTTTGATAAGGTTGGCTAGGGGTTTATCAATTTTATTTAGTTTTTTGAAGAACCAACTCTTTGATTCATTAATTCTCTGTATTGTTTCTTGGTCTCAACTGCATTAATTTCTGCTCTGCTCTTTATAATTTCCTCCCTTCTATGGGCTTTGGGCTTGACTTACTCTTTTTTTCTAGACACTTGAGGTGCAGCATTAGGTTGTTTCTTTGTGTTCATTTTTATACCTGATGTGATAATTCACTGCTATAAATTTCCCTCTTAGGACTGCTTTCATTGTGTCTCATAGGTTCCAGTAAGTTGTATTTGCATTTTCATTTGATTGTAGATATTGTTTAATTTCTTCTTTAATTTCATCTGTGACCCATTGGTTGTTCAGGAGGGTATTATTTAATATCCATATGTATAGAGTTTTTGTGGTTTCTTCTGCCAATAATTTCCAATTTTATTGCAGCGTGGTCAGATAATATACATGAGATAATTTTAATTCTTTGCACTTGGTATATGGTCTATTTTGGAGAATGACCCATGTGCAAGAACACAAAAAGCAACAAATACTAGTGAAGCTGTTAGGAAAAAGGAACTCTCCTACAGTGTTAGTGGGAATGTAAACTAGGACAACCACTATGCAAATCAGTGTGGAGCTTCCTCAAAAGCTGAAAATAGAAGTTCCATTTGACTCAGCTATGCCTCTGCTAGCTATGTTTCTGAAAGGATTACAGAAACCATACACACCAATGACCCATGCATACCCATGTTGATAGCAGAGCAGTTCACAGTAGCTAGGCCCTGGAAATAGCCTAGATGCCTATTAAAAGAAGAATGATAAAGGAAATACAGTACAACCACACAATGGAATATTATCCAGCCACAAAGAGGGATGAGATCATGTCATTTGCAGGAAAATGGGTGGAATTGGAGAGCATCATGTTAAGTGGTATATGTAAGATACAGAAAGCTAAATATCACATGGTTTCTCTTATATGAGCAACCTAAAAAAGAAATAAATAAATGAATAAAACAGAGGTGGTATGGTAGGAAACAAGCAGATTTTTTGGAGATCAGGAAGAGTATGGGTAGGGGAAGGTAAAGAAGAGAGGGTAGAAAATCAGACATGATCAGGTGTGTTTATGCTATGTGCATGGACCAGTTCCCTGAAGTGAATATCAGTACCATGTATTGCAAATGTACACTAATAAAAATGAATAGTTGCTAATTTTTTAAAATAAACCTTGATAATCTCTCTCTGCGTGTGTGTGTGTGTGTCTCCCTCTCTGTCTCTGTCTCTGTGTCTCTCTCTGAGAATACTAACACATTTCCGTAGTTTGATGCCGCTGCCTTGGTTGGTGCTCAGGAGGCAGTGGTGTTAACCAAAATTGTATTCGCACATTCATGCAAATGTTTTTTATCATGTGATAAAAATGAAATAATTTCAGTATTATTATGAAGATATTTTTGAGCCTACGAACCCCCAACATCCAAGGACCACATATTGAAAAACACTGCAGGGTTGCCTTTCCTACTCCGGGTCTCTTCTGGCTGTATGAATTTTGGGATTATTTTTCCTAGGTCTACAGGGAATGCTGTCGGAGTGTTGATTGGGATTGCATGTGGGTTTTTTTGTGATAAAAAATATAATTTTTCCTTTGAGCCTTGCTCTCCTGAGGATTTATGTTGTTCATCAAGTCATTTTACTATTTCTGCTGTGTTTCTTCCAGCCAAACCCACAGACATGAAGAAACAGTAGCTTATTTCAAACATGTATTATTAGGCTATCTACATATCAGATATAAAGTTGCAATACCTTATCATTAGCAAGCAAAAAGTGTCCTACAATTTATTAATTACTAGAAGCATCATGTATCACCCTGCTCTCCAAGAAGACATTCACAGCCCCTGTCTGTCACCAAATGACACACTGTCCCCTGCTGGGCCTCTCAGAGTCTCAGAGTGTGAGGCATCAGGGCAGCAGGGCTTCAGGTGGTTCCCTCCATGGTAGGTGGGCTCCACAAGCTGCTCAGATCAGGAGGAAAATGGAGGCAGCTGAGCAGGGGCTGCTAAATAGAATCGCTCTCCACCACGCCGTTCCCTGAGTGGTGCTGTGCTGGGGATCTGCCCAGATGAAGTTCTCCTTGGCCTTAGCGGTCTCGATTCTCCTCCCTGTCTTCACTTGGCCTTGTGCCGACTCTCTTGGCAACGTGGATGGTAAATGACCACCCAGACAATGTGCCCTGAGGGTGTTCAGAATGATTCCTTTCCACCCTGGTGCCACCTCCCTTAAGAGATGTGATCTTACTTTAGTTTGCAGGAAGAGAGATAACTTCAGGTCGAGTGGACTTGTGTCAACACACGGAGGTCACTTTTTGCCTGAGTTCCCAGGGTGTTTCTGGCCCTCTTTTTCCTCCTTCTCTCCCTCTTGCTTGATTTGGTCTTTATCTTGATCCTCATTTGCAGGAAGTCCTGGCTCTGAGTTTGCCTTTGCCAGCCCACTGCCGGTCACTGGTACTTGATGGCACTGTGAGAAACTCGGTTTGATCTTAACTGGAACTCTTGCTCCCGGTCTCTTTTTATTTCCATTCTTGATGTTGCTCTGCCTTTCATCCTTGTGGAGTCCATCAGCGGTCTGCAAAGCCAGTAGGCAAAAGCTAAATCAATCCGCCATCTGCAGGTTGATTCTAATGGGTCTTTTCTGTATTTCCTGGAATCCAAATGCTTCCCAGCCTTAAAACCTGACCAAATGTCACCTATTAACAGGAATTTTTCAGTATTACTTTTTTTTTTTTACTGTTTTTAAATTTGTTTGCTTGTTTACCTCAAAGTAGGCTTGTCTGTTTTATTGTTTGAAGTGGGGTCTTTTCTTGGAACTGATGTATGAATTTCTCATTCATCCACTCGACATAAAGCTCTTCGTGAGCAAGGACTGGATCTTGTTGCTACTGGCTTCTTCCCACCTTATCTAAGCTGAGGCCTTCAGAATGCCTAGATCGGTGTAGCTGACTGTGAAGCAGCTCATTACTGCGATTTGGAGCACCTGTAGGGGAAGGCAAGCGTTGGTGCGTTCCAGCTGCCCGGACAAGGTGACGAGGGTGTTCAGGCCTGGGCTCTGTTTCACAACGCCTGGTCCTCCGATGGTTCTGCCTCAGTGGATGTATCCAAAAGCAGTGCGGGTCCCTCAGGCTTTCTCTCCAGTAACTCCTTTGTGTTTTGAGAGAGATTTGCCATTGCAGAATGCCATGCTGAAACTTCAGTGCTGGCGTAGACAGCAGCAGTGAGGTCAAGAGTGTGGGCTTCCTGAGTTCTCACCCAAGTTTCCTTCTGAACCCATCTTTAATCCCAGTCACTAGAACTTCTGTCTCTAGGAAAGATTTCCTTGAGTATTTTGTTTAGGTGATACAGAATCATATTTTAAACACGTGAAGAGAAGTGATTTGGAGGTTGCGGTCACTGATGTAGAACACCTGACCGCTCCCACGCTCCCTTTCCCCAACCTTGCTTGTTCTTATTTTGATGATCGTTTATCTGTGAAGGCCAAGGGCTTTCAGGCTCCAATATTGTTTGGGGGCTCTGTGGCCAGTCTGTCTCTAATCATACATCGTTTTCATGTCTGGAGGACTCAGCTGCCTCAAATGAATCCATTGGAAATGATTGTTCCTGGCTTCCCGAAGATTTCAATGTACAGGAAGGAATGAGTTTGGGCACAAGATGTTCGCAGGGCTTCTACCCTAGGTAGCAAGTTTTCTCTTTAGCTGAGATTGTTTGCAGTTATTGCTGCTCTAGGTATGAAATCCACCATTCTGCCTTACCCTTTCTCCCTCTCCCTTTCCCAAAAGTATCCTGGGAATGTGCTTCCCCTGATGCAGCATAACTTCTTCCTTTATGGTTAATTCTAGATATAGCATGTTCCATGGAAACTAATTTCTTTCAGAGGAAGTAGGGGTCATATGATCTTTTTAATCCTTGCATGTTGATCCTCCTCCAGCCTCTGTGAAATACCTGAAATCTATGCATTTGGATGCATCATTAAGCAAATATTTTGGGAAAATAGTGATAACCTGAAAACCCACTGTAGGCTACTTTTTAAGCCATACTTGCCCTTGCCAGAAGGAGGGAAATGGCCCTTCCTTATTGCAGAGGGCAGAGATAAATGTTTTTGAACTTGTCCTTGAAATAGATGACATCTGACACTTTCTCAAATTTTTTTTTTTTACAGTGAAGATAGAGTGTTCTCAAGACTGGGTGATGGTGTCCGTCAGCCCACACAGATACTGCAAAGGCAACCCGTACATGTTCCCAGATGAGCTGGTTCTGGGCCTGGGCTGCCCTGTGACTGAGATCCAAACGTATGTGTATCGTTTTGTGTACCTTGTTAGTGCCTGTGGCATCAGGACCCAGGTGAGCATGGCGATTATTTGTAGAGATGCTAAGTGTGTCACACCTTTGTGTCTAGTGTTGAAGTTATTGTGCTTTTTGCAAAGTCTGGCTTTGCTCCTCGTTTTAGTGACTGATGGGTAGATGAGAATGGAGTTCTTCACCAGAACTGGACCATGACTGATGAGTGCATGGGACCCTGCAGCACTGATTTACAGACTGATTAGAGAACTGATTATAAATGCTCTTTAGGCACCACTACTTAATGTCGCTGAAGCTTAGGAGACAGTTTTAAAATTCATCCAATGCTCTTATGTACAAGGTCATTAATGTGAAGTTGTCTGAAATGTACCCATGCTCCCTGAGGATATGTGTTATATGGGGAGATGGCTTTCATAAGAATAAAACCTCTGTTGGCTCTTTGGTTCAGGAAAAAGATTAAACTGTTTTTGTTCTGGGATATTATCTTTTTGTAGACTACTAAATTTAAACAATTTATATTTATACCATACTAATTGTTTGTACCAATAACTAATTATTGCCCTTGGCCTTTGTGTGTATCCAGGAGGGATGGTAGCCACATCTGAGATCTCAAGTGTTTTCTACTTAGTATCTGCATGTGTGCACGCTTTCTTTGTTATTAGAAACCTCTCCTGTTCAACTGTCTGCTCTCTTAGGTGATCCTCGAAAACACTCTTCTTATTCAAACAGAGCTGCACTATACCCCGAGGGATGGTCACGGTGACCCTGAGATGATCCCTTTGTTATGCTTTACCACTACGTGAGTCCTGCAAAGTAACTCCTTTGAAATACCTTTGATCCACCCTTTTTTAGCATTAAGTTTTAGAGAAGCATAGATTTTTGAGACTATAACACACCCATAAACATAACTCAAACAAGTCCCAAACTTATAAAAATATTCACAAAACCATTTCAGTGGATACCCTATTGGTTTTTAATTTAATTTTTTCAATATAATATTTACTTTAAAACCAAAACATAGACTTGGAAATATCCTTACAAACAGTCTGGTGTAACTAGGTTGTTTTAAGTAACTCAACTACAAGAAGAAGTCACGAACCTTCAGTAAGTGGGGCACTCAGCATCCACACTGTATTTAATGTTTCCACCTTCATAATACTCTTCTGATACATTTTGTGTTTTAGTTTCATGTTAGAACAGTCAGGCGCCCAAGAGTTAATGGAAAACCAGTCCTCATTTTGTACCACTGACAGATGGGGATGTGTGGAAGGAACGGGATGTCAACTGGATCACTCAGTACCTCTGCTTACAATCTGTGAAACTCAGACACTGAACCCACAAAGGAGCCCACACAAACTGAGACTAAGTGCATTGTTATCCTGATACACGTTTGCTGTCACTGAAAGATTTACACTGTGTTGTAAAGCTGAGCTACAAATCTTGGAAACTACCCGAAACCACAAGAAAAATGAAAGCCTTGTTTAATATGTGAAAATAATTGACATCAAAATAAGTATTTAGAGCTCAGAGCAAATGTGCAGCATCTTTTAATGTGACTAGAGCACTTTTATGGGAGGCAACTTTTTATTGTGGTAAAAGATACAGAAGATAATATTTACCACCTTAACCATCTTTTAACTGTGTAGTTCAGTGCCCTTGTACATAGCCATACTGCTTATACTTTTGATCTTTCCTTTAACTTGATTTTAGAAAGCAAAACCAGGCTGAGGGATGTAGCAAGCCTGGGAAGTTTCCCAAATAGAAGCCAAGCCTTGTTTCTACCCATCGCACATCGTGTACATACAGAGATGGTACCTGCTATGTTGTGCGAAGTTCACCCTCCTTAAAAACAAATGAATGCTAGCCACACAGCACCATATAATTAGGTCTTTGTTGTATGAATTTTAAGATTAAACATGAACATGCACACACACAAACGTATACTTTCACACACCGAGTGTTTGTTCCAATACTTTAGTCAGTTAAGCTCTTGATGGCTTTTGCTTACTGGTCTTAGGGTCCATTTGGCCAAGTACTTTGGTCCTGTACTAATGTAAGCATTACAAGTCATCTAGGAGCACTCATCCTTCTACTTGCCATTCTAACCATGGGGAGATGATATGGAACTAAATTTTCCCTAAGCATATCTGCCTTAATCTTGTACCAAGATCCCATTGCTACCTGGTGTGAAGGTCTGGTGTGCAGGCCCTGTGCTGTACTCTGAAATTACCACATTGAAAGCGATCTGCCAATTGAAGGAATATTTAAAACAACTTGCCCCCAAGTTTAGATTCAGAAAAACTTTGTATCGAGTATACCAACCTTATTTACTTTCTGTTTCTCTTTTCTTTAGGAAATCAGTGTGGATTACTCCAGTTTCTGCTGAGGATGACGTGAAATTGGAGCCCACTCCTTTTATGTCTGACTTTCAGACAACACCAGAAGAGTTAGGGTTATTAAATTCTGGTCAGATGTGGCCCCCGTTGAATGGAAAAACGAAGACTGGTCACTCGGGTGATCAATGTTGGAAAACAATTTTTCAGGTAGAAATATAGCTGGTATAAACTTCTTTTTAGGTATATTATTCCTTAAAATTCTAGTTCAGGAAAGGCCTGATTAGTGAAGTTGTATTTTTAGATAATTTTATTCAAAGGATATGGCTTATTAATTTAATGTTAACTATGCAGTAATTTGTAATACCCACTCAAATTTCTCTGTTTTGTGTGGTAGGTTCCGTAAAATGTCTTCAGTGACAGGGATTTGATATAAATGATATAAACTTCCAAGAAATACGTTTAAAATATTTTTCAGTAATAAAGAATACTGATGAGCATGTATATATGTCTGACTCCAAACTTCAAGCATAGTGTAAAATTTACCATACTAACTCATGGGAAAGAAAAATATTGGGTGTGCCCATAGCTTAGTGTGAGCCTTCCTAATCCATCTGTGAAGTTTAATCCTGAAAATAATTCAACATATGATACTGTAGTTGGGTAATTATTCCAGAAGGACTTTCAAGTCATACTCTACACTTCAAGCAATCCTTTCTTAACTGAAATTTGGTGTCAGATTTTCCTTTTCCCCCAGTCTGATTTCTCCACCCTTGAAAGTATTCTGCGCATTCATGCAATCATGCTGCCAATTAGCAGCAAGTCATTAGATGGTCATTTGTCACTAGCTATTCTGTGCTATTTTTGTTTGTTTGATTTTCCCCAAACACAGAGCCTACCCATGTAAGACACCAAAACTCACTTGTGATTTTGAGAGATTTCTCACATCAAGTGTGAGAATTGAACTATGCCACTGGCTATTCAGTTGCTTTATCATACATACCTTTTGGATGCTGTATTCTCTTGGGGAAGGATTTTTGCCAGGTTAATATTTTTTATTAAAGTGTTTCAAAAAATTGAAGTTCCATTACCATTTTCAGTACCACAATGCCTGGGATTGTTTACTTGTCAAATGAAGAATTTGACATAGACACCATGGACTTCTATCTTTGTTAGTTAACAGACAACTGAGAGGTAAAATTTCTGTGGGGCTTAATGAGTGTCAGACAGCTGTACAAGTACATTATAACAGTGTAGTTCTCTTAGCAACTGTCAGGGGTGGTGTCTAGATGTTCCCCCCAAATCCTCATGCAGTTTTAGATGGGGCTTTTTGGAGGTGACCAAATCTAGAGTGTGTGGTTGTGATTCATGGTTCAGTGCTAGAATTAAAGGTGCTGAGATTAAGGGTGGGTGATTACTGGATCAGTACTCTGACTGGACTGGCACCACCCTAATCCTAATAGACTGGATACAACATGAGGGACAGAAAGAGGCATGTCTCTTGTCTCTCTGTTTTTTCCTTTTGTTGTCTTCTGTCACTGTGAATTGATTCCCCTTTGCCATTCCCCTCTCCCCTGCCTGGGAGCCAGCTGATTATGGACTGAAATCTCTACAAAGTGCGAGCTAAATAAAGCTGTCCTCCTTTAACTTTGCGTATTGGGTACTTTGCCTCAGCAATGAGAGAAAAGAAACTAAGACAACAGCTCACAGCAGCATTTATATATTGCTCTCCTAATAAGAATGCAAGGGTTAAACAAGTTATTTCTCTAAGTTATTTAGCTGGTTGTGTGGTGTCAAGATTCAGAATTGAGCTAACTGGCTCTACAATCAGTGCTTTCTTCTTCTTCTTTTTTTTTTTTTTAAAAAAATTATTTTAAAGCGAAAAACAAAACAAAACAACAGCAATGAAGACAAAAACAAAAAACAACACAAAAACGATACACGACCTCAAAACAAAATGGTAAGAATTAACAGTGGTTGCTACACTACATGCTGTTATCTTCACCAAAGTAGCTCAGCCCCCCAGACATAAGAATGCAAGACTGCAATCTGGATCAGTCTTGTGCCCTCTTCTTATACGTGAGTGACTGTAACCCCACTGCTGCCAATCATTTTAATTCACTGAATTTCAGTCTCTAGAAAATCACTGCTATTAGTGGTTTCTCAGCTTTGGATGCTCTTGGCTGGTGGCCCAATGAGAGTCTATGGCAATATCACCTTTTGTGTACATTTTGGGTATAACTTTTGTTTTAGTTACTTTTCTCTTGTTGCTGAGACAAAATACCCACCCCTCCACACGTTAAGGGAGGAAAGCCTTCTTTAGCCCACAGGTTGCAGATGTTTCAGTCCATATCAGCCGGCTCCAAGGCAGGGTGGCACATGGCCAACAGTTCTGTCAACCACTTACATAGAATGAAACAGATTTGTCTCTAGATTTGTCTCTAGAGAATGAAACAGATTTGTCTCTAGAGGGACAACAGTTCATGGTAGCAGAAGACAGCACAAGCAACAAGAGCAAAAGATGAAAGGAAGCCTCCTTCTCCCCCTTTTTTCTTACCTGGACTGCTGGGATTAGGGAGGTGCCAACCCAATCAGTGTACTTATTCATCAATCTCCCTGCCTTCATCTCAGCGTCCTTGACCCCAGCATTGCACTATGAATCAGTCACAAACTCTAGATTCAGCTGCCTCCAAAAAGCCTGCCCTCCATGACTGTGTGAGGCTTTGGAGGGATATCTAGAGACAAATCTGTTCCATTCTATGCAAGTGGTTGACAGATGAATTCACAAAGAATATTTACAAAGCACAATATGTTTTACATAAAAACCCATATGCTTTGTCTCCAGTTTTGGAGAAGGCAAAGCTGGGCTAGGTACAGTTAAAACTCATCAGAAAGTTAGTGTTGACTAGTTCATTTGTTAAAGGCTAATTTATTTTCTTGAATACATGTTTCCATTTTCATTGAGAAGTGGAGAGGAAGGAAGTGAGAGTAGGAATTTTTTTATTCAGAATTGGGGTGTAGTGATAATGATACAGATCAATTGTAAAAGAAAAAAGTTCAGCATGCCAACAATCAGTGAACAAGTGACTGTTTCAGATTATGGTAGTGATTTTACACACATACACACATGCACACATGCACACACACATATGTCAGAATTCATAGGCCATACATCTATTTTTTTATTTTAAAGATAAAAGAATGAAAACATATTAACAAACACACAGGGGGCTGGGGATTTAGCTCAGCGGCAAAAGCGCCTGCCTGGCAAGTGCAAGGTCGTGAGTTCAGTTCCCGGTACCAAAGAAAAACTTAAAACTTAAAAAAAAAACTTAAAAAAAAAACACACATACATTTACAAAATGACACAAAAATAATACAAGCAATACAAAGTCTCAGACAAGGTGATAGGAAATTAACAATGGTTGTTGTATTACATACATATATCTTCAAATTGGTTATTCAAGTAAACAAATAGAGACATGTAAGATTGATCAAATAATTAAACATTAACTGTTCCTTTCAATAAAGTGATAGAAGTCAGTACTACAATTATGTTAGCTATCCTGTGTATACACATATACATAAATTTCCCCTTCTCTCTTTTCTCTTTTCCCTCATCCCAGTTGTTTTTTCCTTTTGAACAGTTTCCTTAACTTTCACAATATCTATCATACAATATCTTTATTTTATTCACCCTTTCAGGTTCTTACACTAGCGAGACAATGTGGTGTTTACACATGCAGGTCTGATTTATTTCACTTATGAGTATGGTCTGTAGTTGTGTCTATTTACCTATAAAAGCCTCGAGTTTATCTTTCTTTGTAGCTGAGTAATATTCCATTATATAAAAATACTACAACGTAGTATTACACGTTGCTTCCATGATTTAGCTATTGCAAATTGTGCTGCTATAAGCATGGGTGCACATATATTGCTGTGATGTGATGTTTTCAGTTCTTCTGGGAAAACACCCAGAAGGAAAATAGCTGGGTTGAATGGGACCTCTAGTCCTAGTTTACTGAGGAATCTCCAAATTGATCATAGGCCATACATCTAAACAGGAAGAAGTTTATAATGTATCAAGTAGACTTCAGTTAACCTGACATAATAGTCAGGCCATCCTGACTGACGAGAGGGCACAATTATCTCCAGCCCAAATGAATCCAAATGCATTGATGTCAGACTTTTGGACTGGTACTTATCTAGCTTATATATGAAGCTTTATTAGAAAGTTATGATTGTTCTGTGAAATATACACTCTTAAAGTGTTGAGAAGGGCAACAGGGCTTGGGATGGAAAGAAGATGGAAGAATCAAGGGTCAAAGAGCAGCAAGGATAGTACAAGAAGGATAGTACACAGAGGAGGACCTGAGATCTTGGAGGACGAGTTCAGGTTGGCAACCTCCTGAGCTAGAGACAACAGGCGTCATGCCCAGTCTAGGTGTGAGCAGGAAACCAGGTGATGGGAAACCTCCAGTTTTTATAGGAGAAGGGCCAGGCTCCTTTGAAGAGTACTGTGGATTAAAGACTGAAGCATTGTATACAATGACTCCATATCAGGAACAAACGCAAGGACCTTTTGTTCAGTCAAGTCTGCTGCAAAAATCCAAGTCAGAGTCAGTCTCTGCTCAGAACCTAGTCCCACGGAACCTGTTCTGATGAGCCACAGAGACTCTGAAATGCAGGAGGGGCTGGCAGCCATGGACTTCCTCCTGGAGAAGCATCTGCATGTTAGGTGTGGATACACTTTACATGGGAAAGATGTTGCACCCATGGCAAGTGACTGCAGAGCCTCATCCACCCTATTATGTCAGTAGATACATGTTCAGTCAGAACTAGCTGGGCTGTACATAGACATTCCCTTCTACTTCTAGTCCAGATATGGACTTGGCAAGATGTAGGGCTAGCAAAGGGGCCACATCATAGAAAACAAAATAACAGCATGTGTAAACACCATATTGTCTCTCTAGTGTAAGAACCTGCAAGAGTAAATAAAACTGAAGGGTACATAGGTATTGTGAAAGGGGAAAACTGCTCAATAGGAGAGAGTGACTGAGATGAGGGAAAGGAGAAGAGAAAGAAAGGAAGGGATATATATATATATACACAGACAAGATAGCTAAGATAATTGTACTACTAATTTCTACCAATTAAGGGGGCTGGGGATTTAGTTCAGTGGCACAGTGCCTGCCTGGCAAGCTCAAGGT